ACCTTCGTTAAAGTAATTTGGCTTCGTTCTGAGTCTTTTTGATTTTTGGTGATTTTTTTTCACCATTGAAATGTATTGAATAGGCTCCTATTGGAACGGATTAACTGGTTTTCAATGCATTCCTATGGGAAATGGTGTTTCGCTTAACGATGTTTTCACATAACAATGTTTTTAATGGAACCAATTAACATTGTTATGCGAGGCACCACTGTAATGTGCCAGTTCTGGATTCAGCCTGCACCTAAAGTTCTGCTTTAAATGTAGCTGAAGACCTCAGTTGGAAGAATCAGATCTTGGAAAGAAAATTTAGATGGTAGCTAAGCTAGCTTGAATCATTACAAATTCAAAGGCTCTTTAAACTGTCAGGTACTCAGTAAACATCTTTCTCTCTCTTCTAGATGATGTGACATTTTTAATTTATTTTCCTTTTTTTACAGAACAAGTCAAGGAGGGATTGTAGCTAAGATGTAGCTCACCGATACTGCATATATACTGTAGTTCAAACCAAGTATTATTTTCCATTTCTTTAAACATTCTAGATACTTGAACGGCTGTAAGTAATGATGATACCAACCATCTATTTTGCTTTTTCATTATAAGTAGCACATTCACAATATGTAGACTGTACATGCTGGTCATCATCTGCTCTAGAAACCTATGGGAAGTACAGTAAATGCAATCCAGTTTTACTTCCTTAATGAGTCTATTTCTCATTCTTAGTTTCCCATCTGCAACCTGGGGGACAATAATGCAAGCTTACTTTATAGGTATATCGGAAGGATAACTAAATATAGTCATAAAACAATTAGAAATACTATGTTATTTATTTTTAGATATTATATTATGTAGTCTAAATGTTATGTATTCTTTTCATAATTGTTGATGCAACAAATCATTAGCAATCATGTTTAACCTGAGGTGCGCAACTTCTGCTCCTTTTGGTGTTGTTGAATTCTAACACTCATCCTTCACCACTGGCTGTGTTGACGAGAGCTGATGGGAGTCACGTTTAAACAACATTCTGAGGGTCACATGTTGCCATGCAAACTACATTTGCTTCTTAAGTTGTCATCATTTTCAGTATGCAACATCTTGCAAGATGGCTGCATAGCAGAAAATGAATAACATTTTGGTTTCATCAGCTACACTTTGAAATGTAACTAAGTCATCCCATATTTAATTAGGTTTTTGTTCTGTTAAAATAAAACAAATAAAAGCTACTCTGACGAGGTTCCATAGTATCTATTGTCCTTACAAAACAAATAATAACAAATTGAACAATTTAAAGCAGTCAACCAATTCATATGGAAGTGGGTTTTTTTCCTGTTGCATTGTCTTCTTGTCAAGTCTATTGATGTTATGTCTCCTTCACTCAGTGTTAAGAGATTCATAATGCAAAACAGCTTGTGTTTTTGAAAGATCAGCCAAAATCCTGTTCATTGTGGTTTGCCTATATAGCAAAATGTAATCAAAGTTAATTTAAAAGTTAGTGACTCCTGGAAATGTGTCGAGGAGGTACTGGGATAATTCAATTTTTAGTGCAATCCAGAGAAGACTAAATAGATAGGTGGAATTTGTTAATCAACCCTTATGGATTTATGCCATTAAATTCAAGATTAATTTCTTAATCTCTGTTCAGATAACTATAACAGCTAGCTCAGTAAATTGAAGTAAGAGTAAAGTAATGTGTGGGATCAGATAGATAATATCAAGAGCCAGACTGGCTCAGAAAACAAACTAAGTTTTGGTTACCCTGTTTCTCCGAAAATAGGACCTAACCTGAAAATAAGCCCTAGTATGATTTTTCAGGATGCTCCTAATATAAGCCCTCCCCCAAAAATAAGCCCCAGTTAAGTGAAATTCCACCCTCGTCTATTGTGCAGCAACCAGGAGATGACATGACTGTATTTGAATAAATGTAGATTGTTGTGCATGAAAAAAATAAAGCATCCCCTGAAAATAAGCCCTAATGCTTTTTTGGAGCAAAAATTAATATAAGACCCTGTCATTTTTGGGGAAACAGTTGGACTTGTGAAGAGTGCTAGATCTATAAGTTGTTATTTTAAATGCCTTTATGTGGTTTTCCAGGACCTTTAACCTAAGGTCCACATTTCTGCTTGAATGGGATGATTCACACCATCAAAAATCACTTTCAATTGTCCTTTGCCCAATGAGCGG